GGCATGCTCGTCCCACAGCAGACTAATGTAGGGACTAAGAAAAAGAGAGGAGAAAAAAAAAAAGAAGTACTTTACTGTGCCACTCATGAAAGCGACATAACTAGACTCCTATGTCCTTTGCTCACTTGTAAAGTGTCTAATTAAATCCTGCTTCATCCCTTCTACTGTATTCGTCCTCATTATCCTGCTCCTGTTTGTTTCATTCGTAGCTGACACACCTTCTTGTGTCACTCTTCTTTTTCTTTCCTCTGACAACTACAAATGTTTATCTTTCATATGTTCTATCCATCCATTATCTGAAACTGTTTACCCTCACGAGGGTCACGGGTCTGATGGAGCCTATCCCAGCTGTCTTCAGGCGGTAGGCGGGGCACACCCTGAATTGGTCCCCAGCCACTCACAGGGCACACATGGATGAACAACCATTCACACTCACAGTCACACCGAGTGACAAGTTTGAGTGTTCAGTTAACCTTCCGTGCGTGTTTTTGGAATGTGGGAGGAAACCGGAGTACCTGAATAAAAGCCACGCAGACACGGGGAGAACATGCAAACTCCACACAGGTAGGCCAGGGCCTGGAATTGAACCCTGCTTCTTTGTACTGTGAGGCGGACGTGCTAGCTCGCTAGCTAGAACTCTCTCTCTCTCTACCTCTCTCTCTTTTTTTTTTTCGATCAGACACCAAATGTCTTCAGTATAAAAACACAAAAAAGGAATCGACCTTGCCATTTCAATACTTTTGGAGGGGAGTGTAGTGTATACGCACTACATCTTTGCCACTACGGTGAAGTGTTTGGAAAGTAAAAATCTAGTCCTAAGCGGTAGAGAAAGAAATGTGATATTAAAGTGTGCTCGTATCACTGTTGTACCTTCTTCGGGGGTTTTGAGGACTGATCTCAAATCAGTAACATCAGAGTGCTCATTGCCCAGACTCTCTGTGCAGCCAGTCACCATACAAGCGCTTACAGTGATCACGTATTGAGTGGACGGCGTGAGACCGGACATCACACCTGGAAAAGAGGAGGATTGGTTTTATTTTGAGGTTGGGGTAAGAGTTCCGATGATCACTCCGAGAGAACAGGTGCCCAACCCTAACCTTGAAATTTTTGTAAATAAATGCATTGAATTAACACATTTAATCTAAAAATCTATGCGCATTTAGAAAAATTGAAATCATACATTTATTTATTTTAAGCGCAAGCAAATGACCATCAGGTCACAGTCTCCAGCAGCACATGAATAGGGGAACACCTAAAGAAGGACTTTGTGTGTCTTCAGAAGAAATATTCAAGGTGTGGCGTCATCACATGCATGAAATTCATTCAAAACAAACCTTGTCGCTCATGACATCAGATGAGTCCAGTTTCGGTATTCCCGTTGTTTGATTGTTTTTGGAGACTTTTGTATTAGGTGGCTTGCGAAATCTTATCACAAAAGTTGAATGAAGGCAACTGGGCTCTTTTTGTTTGCTGAATATATTTCACCTTAAACCCAAAAGGCTTCTTAAGTTCTAAAAATGTTTTAAAGCAAGGCCTGGATGGCATCTGAATTTGATCGTGCCCAAGTTAAAGCCTTTCACTATCCCTCTCGGCGCCTTATTCTTGAGGCTGATGTAAACAGGTACTTTGGTCATCAGCTCTCTGTGACGCTGTTGCTATGTAGAAGTACTGCAGTTGGCAAGTGGAGTGTCCTTTTTATTGTCTTTTTTCTGTCCCCATCCACTTTTTCACTGTTAGCCCCACTCATCGTCAGTCAACCTCTACTTGTCTGATAGAGCCTCGCTCACCCTTTCTCTCTCTCTTTGCCGCCCGTCTTTTAATTCAATTAGAGGCCGAGGCCCCACTCCACTGCCATTACACCCTCATTTGCGTTCTGTGTTTTCGAGCCGTCGGTGTGATTCCGCAGTCAGATGTCGGGGCCATCATAAATTAACAAGAAGCCTTATCATGCTTGGACATTATGTTCGGCAAAGACTGAGGGGAGGGACGTGGAGCCATACAGGAGACATTGAGAACGACTGGGATGGGGCGAGCTCATCTTCATATTTGCCTGGAGACATGGAAGCGTGGACGAGATGGGGGACGAATAGCAGCAGCGGACGCCATCATCATCGTCGGTGTTGAAGATGAGGCGGGGAAAGATCGAAAACAGAGAGAGTTGGAAGGAGCGATGCCAATGTATGACATCACGGGGATAGTGTTGAGTGTCTCGCTCCAAATGAAGACAGTCTGCAAATGCTGGGGGCTTGCCAAGGAGACATTAACAGGTTTGCATGCAACCAAGAGTGTCTGTTTTTGTCAGGAAGAGCATGCGGTGAGTAAAAAGGACAGCGACGATGTGTTTTTACCCAGGGCCGATATGAAAGAAAAGTTGTGGCAAGAACATGCTCAGCAAAAAAACAAAAGTTATTACATTAGTTGTGAAAGTTGGGGTGTAGTTCCAATATTTAAAATAACATGTAAATAATTACTTAAAAAATAATGATCATGAAAAATGCAGTTAGATTGCAAGTTGTAACTCAGACAAGTGGGGACTGTTGAAACCCCAAACCCAAACATTGTCTATTTTAATAATAATAATAACAATAATACATTTGTTCATATTCTTTATTGCTCAGCGGTATTTACCTGTGAAATTTCCATTAGCCAGGTATATGGCTTTGATCAGAGGCACCGCTGGCTGCTCTCTCCGGTAGGCTCGCAACTCATACCTGTCAATCACACCTCTGACATCACCAGTGGGTGGAGCCCAGCTCACCTTGGCACTGAAGCCATTGAGAATCTGCATTGCAGTGGGCGGTGGAACGGAGTCCGGTACTTGGAAGTGAAAGAAATAGAGCCAGTTATTTGATGAGAGGAAAAGGACGTCTGATCAAATGTTTGTATTTTTGAGAAGCTAAAATTATTGGGGCGAAATAAAAGTAAAGCAAAATCGGCCAATCAGTCCCTCTCCTGACTGCTCAATTGGAAATTCACCACAAAATGAAAATCTATACATTTACCTAATGGGTGTCTTGACTCGTGAAATCAGTGTAAGCACACCGTGTAAGCATGTTCAAAACACAATCTTAAAATTTAAAAGGGACGGTTCAATTTTAATCTATCTTGGTGGGATATAATTAAAAGGTTTGTCTAAAAACTTTTTCCCCCCCTGATCCAGAGGACATATTCCACAGAGCAATGTATGTGGGATAAGCGAATCATGTACAAAGACAGAAAATATATCAAAACGAGGCAAAACAACAGGTTGGACGTACAAGAGGTTCAAGTAAAAGCTTCCCCCATCTTTACATGCCTTAATAGGCCCACTAAATCATGCCTCCCATTAGCATAAATACTATTTATGGGAGTAGTAACTTTTTCAGCGCTGATTTAATGCAGCCACCCATTCATTCTGGGCTATATTTCACTATAATCAACCTCTCTCCTTTTCAGCCGTACTCTCCTTCCCTTGCGGAAGATGCCAGTGGGAGCGTCGACTGTCAAAACAGCCGCATCCTCTTTACTTCCTGTCTCCATCTATCTCTCTGTGTTTCTGTACATCTGCCACTAGTCTTCGTCTATTTCTGGTGCTGGAGGATTTACAATGTGGAGCAGAACTACTTTAAGAGAATACTGAACACAGTGTATAACTTTTTTTTCTCTTTAATACGCCGCCAAGCAGCAAACCTTTTATCATTTCTGTCTGAAGTGCGGAAAATATCTCTCGACTCACAAATTATTTTATGACCGGAGAGTAATTTCCTCACCATGCCAATATTTCTCCACTTTCACTCCTGCCTTGATTACTCAATCATTCTGCAGATTTTTCCTCCATTTTCATTCTTGCTGTCCCCCTTCGGTAAGCTCTCACCTTTGCCTCTCAATCCTCCATCCTCGCCTCTTCTCTGGCTTCTTAATGTATTTATTAGCACTTCCTTCCTCCCTCCCCTCCATTCCTCTCTGTGGTCACAGCACACCAGACCTACCAGTGTATCGTTCACTACTAATGAGCAGCTTTATATTACACCAGGGAGAACCCGGGCCGTTCTGGGTTAACAGCCTTTTACTGGGATGCCCTTTATGGTGGCTTTATCAATCTCTCATAGCGTCAGGCAAGTGTAATATCACGAGCCCTGGATGAAACTCACACACTGTACAAGTTGGAGTGCTTTTTCATCCCAAATCTCTTGAGAAACGCCAACAGGTGGGAGCGGTTCCAAATTGCCTTAAGTCACGGAAGGGCTCAAAACGTTTTTGGTGGAGAATTTGTGAATGGAAATCAAGTCAACAATTTAGATGGAGCAGCGTGTCTTACCTTTGCCGCAGCTGCGTACTCTCTGCCAAGGCGAGGCCGCCCAGCCTCCTGCGCCGAGAGCTATGATCCGATACAAGTATTCTCGGGTGCGAATGAACATGGAAGGATGAGTTTAGGATTGGGATCGAAAAAAAAAAAAAATTAATTAAAAAGTGCATGACAAAAATTTTTGCTAAAACTCACTGAATCATCCAAAAATATGCATTCATGAATCTAAATACAGTAAAGAATTTTGACAAGATACAAAACGGATGAGCACATTGAATCACTGGAGAGCAAAGTAAATAAATTCTGGAGTCCTATTTGTGCTCGTAGAAAAAAAATATATATATATATATATTTATTTATTTATTTATTATATATGAAAGAATTAATTTTCTGTTTCTAAAAAATTATATATAATTTTTATAATCGTTTAAGTAATGTAATAGGAATATAATTCTATTCAATTTACCAATTATACACAGAAATAACATTTCAATCGTAATTTAAATACAGTATTTAAGATTGTATGGGGCTGTAAATCAGGGATATATTTTTTTTCCCAGAGTGATGAAGGTATTTTGTGTATTCGAATAAGTGTGCCAGGTGGCTAACAAACAAGCTAGCGCTAAGAATTGTATGTAAAAGGGGCAGTGCGACTAAAAATGCTCATGACGATGATCATGATAAAAACCATCACAACCGTCATCACAAGTCTCACCTCCATGAAGTCTTTTCGCGGAATAGAAGAATGCAGAGCCGCCGGTAGAGACTGCCCACATATTTGTTCCCAATTCTGCAGCGGCAGAACATTTCACCATCAGAAGGATTTCAACATCCATCAAAAAGAGTTTGCAATGTGTTTGACTTAAAAGCAACGAGGTCCCAGCAGGCATTGATGTGGCCCTCTCGCTTACCTTCTTGTCGGTGAGTTTCTTGCCGGGGTTGGTCTCCTCTGGATGGTAGAACCAGTTGACCCTGACCACCATGTTGCTGCCCCACGACTCCCACATGCTCTGGATACGACCGATGAAGGGCAGGTTGGGCCTCCCCGCCGACAGGAAGACGGCGCAGTCGCCGATGCGGATCATCTCCCGGCCGCGCACGATGGCCTTGTAAAAAAGCTTCTTCGCCTTGCCTTTCATTCCTCGTCTCTGTCCGAGGGGGAGAATATCACCGGGCGGAATGAGAAACGTGGCGGCTGAGTAATATTTAACAACAAGTCGAATCGAAATGGCATTTTTCTCAGTCGCGGTGTTCTTTCCCTCGTGCGTGTTGCCTGGAGCAAAACTAATAATTAACAGATAATAAAATACAAGAGGGCACCGCCCCCCCCCCCCACACACACACACATTCCGAGATAAAAGACACACCGCAAACAAGTGTGTATCATAAAACACGTAGAAAAGGGGAACTACGGTAGTTCAAAACTCATTCAGTAGCAGCCAATTCTAGACCAAGTCTGAAAAGAACGTTTAAAAACGTCTTTGGGAGTGAATGAGTTTTCATTTTGGGCGCCCCCCCCCCCCAACCCACTATATGAGGAATTACAATCACCTGAAAGTAACTTAACATGGAATGCATGACATTGTGGGTGTAATTCGCCCAACGCTGCTCACCTGAGTGGGTTTCCCAAACCACTTCCAGAGCTGCCTGGCTGGAAGGAAGGCGGAAATTTTGGGCCGATTTTCCACACTGGGGAGCCGTTGGCGTTTGGCCAACTCCTTGGTGGTGGGCAGGTGCACCCCCTCCCGCCGCTTTGGCCTCCCCACTTTTCCTTCCCCTCCGCCGGGCTTCGGTTTCGGAGGGCGGCCCCTTTGACCGGAACCCTTCCCGGTGGCCGGTTTGGCCGCTTTGGCCGCGGCGCCGGGAGTCGGAGAGGTTGAGAGCGAAGGCGAGGGCGAACGGGAGCGAGGGGACGCCTCGTCTTCCTCCATTTTGACGTCCGCCTCCTCCTTGGCGTTCTGCTCTTCCTCTCGCCGTTCCTCTTCCACTTTGTCCGGGGCTGCGGGCAAGGGAGAGGCGGGGCCCGGAGGAAGAGGAGTGGGGGTCCTCTCTTCGTCGGAGCTGCAGGAGGAGTCGTCCGTCGACGACGAGGATGAGGAGGAAGACGAGGACGACGATGAAGACGAGGAAGAGCCGGAGCAGGATGAAGAGGAGGAAGAGCAGCTGGAGGTGCATTTCTTCTTTGGCTTCCTCCTCCCTTTCCCGCTTTCTGCTTCGGACTCGGAGCTGCTGCTGCTGCTACTTTGAGACTCTTCCTTAATCTTCCTCTCTTCCCTTCTGTCCTGCTCCTTTTGCTCCTCTTTTTTGCCTTTCTCCCCCCTGGCGTCTGCTTCCTGTCCTCTACCGCGGCTCTCCGCTCTCTCCTTAGCCAGCGCGTGCGCATTGTGGGTGGCCTCTTTGTCCCGCAGTCCAGACTCGCACTCCGGAGCTCTTGGTTTGGACTTGAGCAGTTTCTGGTCGGCTGTGGCCACGGGGGCGGGATCCCGTCTGCCATTTTGCCCCTCCAGCAACATCAGAGCCTTGGTCTTTTTCGTTTTGGGCGAGGTGACGCCCTCGTGGTCAAGCTTCACGAGGGGCTCGGCGGACACGGACTTCCGCTTGACGACGTCCCCCTGTCTGGAGGCGGGCTTCGGCCTGGAGATGGAGTTGGGCCTGGAGGCCAACCGCTCGGACGACAGCTTCGGTTTGGGTCCGGAGAGAGTCGCCGGTGCCGATGAAGTTCTGGTCGCCAGAGAGGAGCTGGATTTGCCCGCCGACAGCCTCGGAACTGGGCTGGGAAGGAGAACGGATCTGAGGGGTCTGGAGTTCCCGTGATGGTCCGAGGCGGGTTTGCTTTTGGATGCGGAGGTCGAGGCGGACCTGGGCTTCGCGGTCATGCCGGGTCTGGACACGGGCCTGTTGGATGTCCCGACATTGGCGCTGTTCTCTCTTTCTCTACGCTGGCCGTTGTATGAGGTCAGATTGGGCTCGCTGTACAGGTCCACAGTCAGGACCTTTCCGTAGGTGGAAGGATAGGATGAAGAAGAGATCTTAGCTTTCGGTTTCGATTTTGGGATCGGAGCCGAGCTGGTCTTTCTGGGTCCCGCGGAGGTCGGACTACTCGAAGGGGACGCGATGGAGCTCTTGTGAGCCGGTTTTGCTTGCGCCCCCATCGCGGGCCGTGAGGCAGGCCGAGACTTCTCCTGAACTGCTTTCTGGACCGACAAACTCCTCTCCTGGGCGACTTTGGTCAAATCCTGGGATTTGCCTGGAGGCTGGCTGGACGACGGAGATTCTGTTTTCTCCTTGCAATCGGAGTTCAAGGAGGTTTCTGCGGTGGGAACAACAACGACACAACATGAGACGCGGACACGGGGCAGCCCGATCCATCCTTCCAGGACAAAATGATTTTTCGGCAAATAAGAGATTACGAGTGATTATGAAAGAATTGATCTCACGGTCGTCCGTCATTTCTCTGAGTTCGGCTCACCTGGTTTGGGTTTGGGCTTGCGACCGGGTTTGCCCTTGACTTTTGGCGCCGTTTCATCGGCCTTGGCCTCTTTGCCCTCCTTGCTGCATTTGCGCACCCTCCTGCGAGAGCAACTGGCCACCAGGAGTGCAGGGGAAGGCTCAGCGCCTGTTCAGGGGGAACACAGGACGCCACATATTAATCTGCTTCTCAAACTGATAGTCATCGGGACGAGAGATGAAACTGGATCAAGCTTTTCTCCCATGATTATAGTTACCAAAATGATCACATTCATGATTTTTCAACATTTTTTTTTTTCAACTAAAGAAACCAACAAAGGCGGACCCGGTGGTCCGGTGGTTAGCGCGTCGACCTCGCGGTACAATCGAAAAATCGTAAACCGTCAGTTCAGCCGATCAAATGCTTGAGGGAAGTTACTTTGAGAACAACTTGGTGTACATGTTTACCGAAAGAAACGGGAGTCGCGCTTGTATATCGATTCCATCAAGGACAACAAACAAAAACTAAGTTGCAAAAAGGTTAGAAAAATGTTTATCTATCTGCCCGCGCTGCAACGGGTGTTATAAAAAGTTGGATGCAGTCAGTTCAGTGTGACCTTAAAAATGGTTTGTGGGTGGACAGAATCTATTTTTGTGACACCCACACAGGCAGGAATCTTGCGAATAAAAACAGGCGTGACCTAAGGACCCCAAGCTGAAGACTAAACCAACTTTGTGTTTTCCTGCGACGGAGGCCAAGCGAAACCCCAAAAGGACGAGCGTGTAAACAATTGTCCTCTTTGTTGAACGGGGCCATTGGATTTTTTTTTTTTTTTTTTTAAAGCTCGCTGTTTTCCGTTCAAATTGGGTAGGAGAGACAAAGGAACAATGGTGTGCGTGAGCGGTGCTTTGGTACGGTATGTGCTCACAGTGGATCTTGTAGTCTGGAGGCAAAAGTCGGATGTGAGAGAGGGGGATGCGTCCCGTGTCGCCATCGTCAAACTCCACCGTGATGAGATCGTCGTCGTCGTCGATGTCTGAGCTTCCTGTTTTGGGGAGGAAAACAGCAAATTGCGAATAAGAAGTTGCCTGGCGGTTTCGAAACGGATCTCGACTGACCTTAAATGTTGATTAACAATGCTATTGATTGTTTAATAATATCTAGACATGGGGAAATAAGCTGTCCCGTTTTTGAAACCAAACCGGGTCTGGACGACAGAGTCTAAAAAAAAAAAAAAAAACAAACGTCAAGACTAGTTCTCACGGCAGTTGTAATTTGGTCTAGTTCAATTTTAAAGCTAATCCAAATCATATCGGCCTATTCCGGAGTTTTTTTTTCCCTTAGTTAAAATCAACTTTGGAGTTATTTGAACAAGCTCTCAAAGGGGAAATATTTCTGAGTCCATTTTCTGTTCGGGTACAAATGGTTGGGTCTTTCAAGTGTTCTCTTCCTATTTCTACAAACGCCTCTGTTCTGGATTTCTGCATTTCTGCCCCACCTTCATAAAGCAGTGGACCCGAGAAGCACCGACCAAAAAACAGTTTCTCAGCCAATGACTTGGCAGTCGGGCGCAACGAAAATCAAGAGTAGAAAAACCATTTCGAGGACTATCACGTCAATGCCAAAACGTAAACAAAGCTGCATTGTTAGGACCGATTAGCTTAAGTACGCGGTGTCACCATCCATTACTAGCAACGTGGACATTGGGGGTATTTTGTCTTTTGTCGATTTCATGCGCCGCACTGCGACAGCACACTCAGTGACGAGTGCATTTTGGAGGTTTGGTGACAAAATGCTGCCTTCGGACACGATGGTGCAGTTGAATATTGAAGTAGACAGTATTGAGTTTAGTTTCGTAGAGCTGCATTGAGTTTCCGAGGCTTTTCCAGGGGTCGCGGGAGATCTTCACTAACTTGGCTACCCGAGTCCCGAGTGTCAAAAGCATTCTTAAAATCATCCGGTTCACGTTGGACGCCAACCGAAATACCTTTTAAGCTTCTACGCTGCACACACTGACCCCTCTGTCTCAGATGGTGAACTGCAGACCGCGGCCAGAATAAGAAACACACGGTCAAAGAAATAACCTCTCCCGCAGTAGGTGTGTACTGCGTGCGATATATTTACACTTTCACGCGACGAAGATCGGGTATAAGGGCGCACTCTGCCGTATTGAAATAGCCCAGTGGATATCATACATTTGTCATGTGCCGCCAGCTAGCATTTAATTGGAAATTGACGATGACTCATGGCATCCAAGCGCTGTTTGTGTGTGTGTGCGTGTGCGTGTGCGCGCTGGTGTACCGTTGACAACCGTGCCAGGATAAAGGCAGCGGTACTGCTGACTCCAGTAGGCAGCGATGCGGGTGCCCTCGGGGAGATAGCGCACCGAAGGAGGCTTCACATCAATGATCTGAACACAGACAAGAATAAAGGACTTGAAATGTCAAGAACCACGCCAGCCACGCCAGCACGCGCTAAGTGTTTCTTACCGGCATTGGCCCGAGCTTCGTTTATTTATTCCACATCAAGACTACACAGAGATAAACTGGAATAAGCCATGCGGGCAGAGGGCGAGAGCTCGGGGAAGGTTTAAGCGCATGTGGCCGTCACATGACGTATGACCTACTTTGGGTCATGCATGTTTCATGTTTCACTTTCGTCTGCGAGCGGCTGCGCTCTCATGTGTCACTAGAAATCCGAGCGAGAGCGATGTGGTGCGTTGAACCCCGCCGCTCTCATGCGAGTGACATCCGGTTTACTCACAGCCTCCTGCAGCAGTTGCTCCAAGCAGTAGATGTGCGGCCGGTTCCCTCTCTCGCCCTCCACCACCACACTGTATCTGCGGCAAACAATTACAGGAGGCTCAAAGCGCGGCGAGACAAATTGGGAGCGCCGCATCCACTTTTCCTTTCTGTGATTTCTGTCCGAAACGTTAACGTTGCGTCATTTCCAACCGAGTTAAACTAAGCGTAGCCGGCTGAGGCTGCTACGACTATTTTTTGCGGCACGCCTCAAAAGAAATCAAACTCAACACTGACGAAATTATGGCTGCACAGTACTTTGTCCCAATTGTTGTGCGAATCACATTTACATTCCCCGAGAATATTAATCCTGCTTTAAAAGAGATTAAGTCTCGTTTTCTTTTAACTCAGCCCCATTGGATTTGCAGCTAAGTGAGCAAGCTGGAGCTGATGTTTTTTTATTTTTTTTTTCCATTTCAGAGTTTGTCAAACGCTCTTATTGATTTGCTTCCGGTGATTAAGATGTTAAGTATGCATTACACTCCATCCTGAGGCACTTTGCCACGTGAAATCGAAAAACGTTTTTTTTTCTCCTGTCCATGGAAACCTCAAAACTCTTAACGGTTGTTCAAAGCAGTTGGGCAGAAGTGATAAGCCAGAGAGGAAACATAAAAAAATGAATGCCGCTGAAATCAAGCCAAGCTCCACCCACCTGTGCTAAACTTTTCGCTAACTCAATCAAGAACAGCTTAAAAAAAATAAATAAATTAAATAAATAAATAAATAAATAAAAATGTTATCAATATCATAAGTCACCAATTGGTGGGTAGTAACAAATATTAGCGCCGTACTGATGAGCTGAGAAGAGCTAAGACGTCTCAATGATCAGTCCACATTATCTGTCTGTGTGTCTCATACTGCACACCGGTGGCCAAAATGGGCACACCAGGACAATTGAATGAATGCAGCTTGACAAAAACGGTTGATTTCTTTGGCTGAATCACATCGAAATCGGAACGAGCCTAGCAGATTACGATTGACCTCTAAGCGTCAACGGGACGTCCAACATAGTACAAATATGAATACATCTTGTAATATACTCACATATCGGGCGAGTGCACGGTGTGCACGTGCCCTGCGTAGAGAAGCTGGTCATCCATTGGGATCAAAACCCGTAGCCCGTCCGCCAAAGAGTCTTTGTCCAACACACACTGCACTGGAGCTGAATGCAAGAAACAAAAAAAATACAGGACATAAATATACTCATGCCTGCAGGTTCTTTTGAATCGCGACGGTCCTGAGGCGTCAACCAACGCTGACCGGGTGTCGAGGACCTCTCGGGCGCACTGTTGCCGCACGGCGGGATGAGCTCGTCTTCGCTGAAGCTGCTGTCCTGATTGGGCTCAAAGTCTTCATCAGCGGCCATGCTCTCCATCAGCCGGCTCACTGCTCCCCTGGACTGCTGTAAATGACACCCAATGCCCTTTATTTTTTTACGAACGGATCATATTCCTTGATTCAGCTTTAGAAAAACATATTTACGTCCTGGCGAGATGGTTTTTTTGGTTTGCCCTGAAAGTTATTTACACCAGCTGGTTATATACAGCAGCCACTTGCATCATGTAATTAGAGTAAGAGCTGCACGGGGAAAGGAAGGAAGAAAAAAAAAAAAAAAAAAACCTGTGCATTTTGATCGACACTGTTTATTATCGCGGGTGGAGTTTGCAGTCATGCAGAACGGCACTGCGTCATTCTGAGGGATGGTTCTCATATTTGCCGATCACATTTAGCAACATGAGAGGGTCAAAGTATTACAACTCTATGCATGATGCGTACTACACAACTCCAAACTACAACAATAATGCGAAGATGGTAATAATCTCGTGTCTTCTTTGCAGCGATGCATTTTGGGTGTCATTGGGCTCATGATATTGTGGCAAGTCTGCGTCCCTCTACTGTATAATACGACTAGGCCTCGTGCATTGTATTTCAATCAATCACATAATTTTGCCTTCGGAAAGTCCGCTTAGCTTAGCGCTTACTAAAAAGGCAAAACTCCATTGAGATGCTAATGGTTAGCATTGATGGTTGCAGTTTTAGAGCCCATGGATATTTGAACACAAATGGTGAAGTAAGATAATATAACTCTACACACAGGCATACATTCTTGTATTTAATTGTGTTATTACTCAATTTTTTTTAAACTACCGGTATATTAATGTAGTGGTATTTTTGGTTATTAAAACAACAAAAACACAAAAGCAATTGCTTTTGTGCAACGGAATAATGGCATTTCAATCCATTTGAATGGGGAAGGAAGACATATGTGAACACAAATGGTGAAGTAAGACAGATAACATAACTCGACACACAGGCATACATTCTTGTATTTAATTGTATTATTACTCAATTTTTATAAACTATATTAATAGAGTGATATTTTTGGTTCTTAAAACAACAAAAGCTTTTGTGGAACGGAATAATGGCATTTCAATCCATTTGAATGGGGAAGGAAGATTTGAGAAAGGCAAATTTCTTTTCAAACCACTCCAAATTTGGCAGCCTTTAACATTTATACGATGACTCAACAGAGTTCTAACAGATGGACAACATATGTCACAATAAACTACATACGTGAGGCGAACTTTACGTCTCAGAGGCAAAACAGACGCCAACATTCACACACAAACGCGACTGCGCATTCCAGAAACGTAAAATGCCTTAGCGCGCATTGATGTCAAACGGTTTCATTCGAGCATTCTCGTCGTGACCTCGCCGAGACAGTACGCAATGACTTTGCCCTGCTCATGACTTCTCAGCTGATCAGTCATCACACTGACCTCCCGGGCCTTGGTCTTTGCTTTCGATTGGCTCTTCCGCGCCGGGCTGAGGCTCAGAGCCGCGGGGCCGCCGTCTCTTATTGGACTAGCCAGGGAGGACGGGCTCACTATATGCACTCGGGGTGGGAGAAGCCTGCAGTTGTCCTTTCTTGTCAGCAACATTTAAGACAGCAGGGGAGTGCGAGAGTGACTAAAGTGCTGGGAAACCCTGCTGGAACTGTGACACATACACGAGACAAAAAAAAAAATGCTGGGAGAGGATTTTGAAGAGAAGCAAGTGTATAATGGAACAGAAAAGGGACCCCCCCCCCCCCACACACACACACCCATCGCTGAGTAACCACCAGATGAATAATTGACGTACTTTCACGGCATCTTTGGCATCTCTGTGGGAAGCGGGCTGCTTGGGTCTGGAAACGGGCTTTGGGGTGAGAGGCGGGGCTAAGCTGGAGGAGGAGCTCTGACTGGCGCCGGACACGGATGACATTTGGTTGGCGGAGGCGGTGGCGTCGTGGAGGAAGATCCTCTCGCTGCGTCGCCGGTTCCAGGCTTCGTCCTCGCTGAAGCCTCCCAAGCCGGAAGCCGTCGCCAGATCGAAACTGAAGCGCCGCTGAGGCCGAGGCGACGGTCGGCGCCGTTTGATCGGTAGAGGCTTGCGTTTGACGGGCAGCGTTTCGTCGCGCTTGCTCGGGCTGCTCTGCTCGATGCGGCGGGTCGCCGGCGGCAGCAGGGGGAGTTCCGGCGCGGAGCGTTTGCCGTGCAGCAGAGAGGGGAACTTCCTCAAGCGCAAGTCGGAACCGGAGTCAGACCACTCGCACTCTGATGAACCTGATGGTGGCAAGACAGAGCTTCATGAGCTTGAACGTTCAAATGAAGTCCACACACACGCACGCACGCACGCACTTTTACAGCAGACTAACTGGAAGTGACACAAACAGCTTGAAGCAAGCACACTTGTCCTCTTTGGAGAACTGCAAGAGAGTGAGAACTGACACGAAAGGAATTTCGAGCATGTTTTAATGAGTCGAAACGTGTTTGAAAGTGCGCGGAAGGGGTGAAACCACGCGCATGCGATCCCAACTGTTGTGGTCGGTCCGTCTTAAAGCCATGTAAATGTATTGGATTCTCCGCAATCGATAATGACAAGAATAGCACGATTGATTACATCCAAACCGATGCATAATTTACGACTGAAACATTAAGTTCCACCGCAATGTGACAATTGGAAATGAATGAATATTTGAACAATGCCGCCAAACCGCGGCGCTGAAAAACACTCCGGCAGATAAACCTGCTCGACCACAAAAAGCACAATCAGAGGAACCATCGCAGCAGCGAGCCTTTTGTCCACACAGTCAACGACTCGATCACTCTTTACATTTGTGTTGGATCAACAAAACAATACGCACTGCAACTCTGCTTTTGTGTGTCGCGTTCTTACCCAGAATGCTCGGCCGGCTGTGATGTTTGCCGTCGGGGAGGAGGCTCAAAGCGGCAGAGCTGACCGGGAGAGCGCTCGCTGCAAACCTGGCCAACAGACCCAGGCCGCTCTCCTCGCAGCCGCCGTCTTCCGAATCGGAATCCTCCTCGTACTCGTCTTCGTAATCATCCTCTGAAGATTCTGTTTGAGGAAAAAAAAAAACATTTGAGCTCAGAGGATGGACGGGTATGCCCCATATACTGTTGTAACAAAGGCTCAGAGTGTATTTAAAAAATAAGACTCAGTTGGCGATAGCTGAATTTTGTGCCCTGGATTGAATTACCACTCACACACACACACACACACACACACACACACACACACACCTTCACAACAAACATGTTGGCGGATGGAACCCACCGCGCAAAGAGAATGACACCACCCAACAGCTCGTACGCCGTGTCATCCAAATTCTGCTGCAGACACTCGACCTCACAGCCCATCTAACCACGACTGCACATCCACACACTCACACTGGAAAAAGACCACGTGACCTCCGACCCCATACATCACTATCCGTGATTTAATCCCCCCCCTTGAGGGAATATTAAAAACAGCAGAGATCCACTTCCTTTCTTCAACGGTGACAAGACATTGCAGCAAGCAAACAAAACGCGTGCCGTACACAAAACACACACACACACACGCACACACACGCGCACGTTCAAATAGCTATTGAAGCACACTGCGGGTTAGCGGCGTGTTGCTAGTAGTAAGCGGTTAGGTCCAACAGACGAGCAGGAGGAAAGTCTCCGCAGAGTGTTAACGCGATGGTGGATACACAGTACGGGAGAGCAGTCAGATCGTAACAGTGCAATCATATCTGATTGACGGGCCGCGTCAAACATTCTGCCCTTTTGTTTCGATTCACTGACATCGAGTGTGGTCGTCGATTGCACGGGCGCACACCTCAAACGCATCACAATGGAGAGCTGTTGCTCGTTTTTTTTTTTTTTTTTGGACTTGTGTCCCTAATTGAAGTCACCACAATTTTCGATCCGGCTCTTATGTTGCGGTGGGGTTCGACACCACTGCATACTGGAAGAACCTTGCTCAATGATTACCTGTGTTGACAGTTGTCAGTGGAAACTGAACATTGTCGTATTTGTCAAGGCAGAGCATTTTGATGCAGCTCTTGCATTCTTGCACTTGGTGTACATTGCATTCATCGTGATCCAAATTACCGCTTGGGGTCAGCAGAATTGTTCCGTGTCATCCCGTGAAAACTTGGGACGCGCATTCTAAAATGAATATTTCAGTGTCGATGAATCTCGGAAGCGCTGCATAAGAGGTACTGTGAATCCACATTGTAAAAAAACGTTCGCGGGCAGACAACAGACAGGACGAGGCAGGCACTGAGAGGACAGCCCTGTGAGGCCCCTTGTTTTACCTTTGGTACAAAGTTTGAGTAACCATGGTAACCGCCTTCATCCCAGCTCAACATCACAAAGCTAGCTTTTAACGTCTACAAGTCAGCTGAGCCCCCCAAAAAAAAAAGGTCTAATAAGGTGAAACCATGGCTCCCAAGAAAGGAAAAAAAAAAAGCTTGAATTTGTCAGGGAAAAAAATAAATCAGGTGAAAGTTGATATTCTGTGAATGGATGATAATTTCAGCTTCATGGAAGGCCGTCTGCGTATGGCTCCATTATCCTTGATACTCAGGTTAATGCCCATTGTCCTCGCTAGCAAGACAATTCAGCACACGAGTAGAGCTGTCTGACTTTTTTGGGGGGGAGGGTGTGGCCTATTAGGATGCAATTAAACCTTACTACTCGACAACTGTGCTGCACTGGAAAGTATCAAGTAGTTGCCCTACTACAGAGGACAGAACACACCACTGCAGACCTTAAGTTGGATATCAAGGACAACGGACTAAATGCGCAAACGTCATTCCATACAGCGCTGTCCGTATTAGCAGTGGAGAAAATAAAAGGGGCACGTCCTACTTACAGAGCAGGTGACAGGGGTGTGGCCTCAGGCAGGGCGGGGTGGGGCGGGGCGGCACACGGAGGCGAGAGTGCAGCCTAGCCTTAGCGCAGCCACGCCTTAGCGCAGTCTAGCTTAAGCTACACTTTAGCCGCAGCGTAGACGCCGCCGAGGCGATGAAAGCGTTCGGCTTTAAGGCTGAAGCAAGTCCTTGCCAAACTTCTGAAATGTCGTGGGAGCGGCGGCAGCGGCAGCAGCAGCAGCACAAGCACGTGGGACAGGCAGAAAGACACTCAAAGCATCACGGGAAAGACAATTTGGAAGGGAGGGGAGGTGGGGGGTGAGGTGGCTGACAGAGCAAAGAGGTTGACAGCAAAAGTAAAATGGGTGGGGGGGTGTTATTGGAAGGTTTAGTAGACTGACAAGAAGCTCTTTTGTCCAAATATCCCAAACGTCAATTGGCGGCATCATCTGGATTAAAAATAACACATTCAATTAGACTATAAAGCTCCCACAATGGATGTGTGGGGGAGAAACAGCTCAACGACTAAACGTCCCTGTGCAACCTGAAACCGAGCAATCTTTCCAACCTTTCCTGGGCCAAACGGAGGGATATTGGACAAACAGAAGGCGCCGGGAGGACGTGAAGGTGCAGTTGGACAGAACGACAAAGACAGACGAGACAGATGAAGCCGACACAAGGACCACAGCGGCTCGCTTTCCATACTAAGTCAAGTCCAAACCTTTAATAAAGCCTTTTTTTTTTTTTTTTATAGGTACCAAACTGCAATACAACTTTATGAAAACAAATCTCACAAATTCACACAATATTTCAATTCAATGTACAAACTCTACAAAATGCTTTTTCAAATCCAGGCAATAAAAACGCCATAGAAATGTGTAAACTCTTTAAAAAGGAAAAACAAACAAAAAAAAAAAAGGCAACTTTGCAGAAAAACCAGCAGCAAGAGAGAGGTAGGGACGGTTAAGCTAAAGCACAGTCTGGGAAGAAAAAAAAAAAAAAAGATGCCTTTGCAAAGGGCAAACATACAAGCTGTGACAAGACTCAACAGACAAGGTATCGTCTGAGTTAACAGTGCAAGGTTCTAAGACGGGTGGGGGAGGGGGGGGTCAGTAACCTTGATCGAACGAGTCGTCGGAGGAGCTCAGGCCCGCCTCCTCAAGCAGCAGGGATAAGTGCTTGTGTTTCTTCTTTTTCTTCTTCTTCTTTTGCGACTGAGCGCCGGACAGCGCGGAGGACGGCGACGATGCGGCGGCGTGCCTCTTCCGGGCCGGGTTGCCGTGGGGACGTGTTCCTGAGAGAGAGGGCCAGCTCCCTTTTGCAGAACTGTGACCCTCGGAATCAGAGTCTGGTACAAGGACAAGAGCGGTCAACGGCTCGTCAAGCGTACAGACGGAGAGATGCAACTTGAACAAGGAACCAAATTCAAATTGAGACCGCAATGTAGAAGGCGAACGCACAGCTTGATTTACAAGCTCAATCGAGTCTATGACTAAGACAGGGATGGGGAACTGGTGGCTGTGCCTTTATTTTATTTTATTTTTAAATGGCGGGGGAGAGGAGACTTTTTTTTCCCCAAAAATTTTTTTTTTTTTTTAACCCCTCATTATGATATGGCAGACATGTCTTAGTTGAGCTAACACTGGCCTGCCTTATGTTTTTGTTTTTTTGTTTTGGGGGGTGGGGGGGGGGGCGTGAAATGATACGCTGGGAAAAAAATTGTAGCTCAACAATCTTAAAATGTTGAGTGAGTTCATTTTTTTTTTTTTTTTTTTGTGAAAAATGTACAAAATGAGTTCTTGCGCTTAAAAGCCGGTTACTTGTTGAGCAGTTTTGTGCCGTCCTTGAATGGCACTTATGCAAGAGAGCCCCTTTGGACTCGGGGGGGGGAAAAAAATATCATGTTTGCTTGAGTTAGGATAGGAGATCTGTTCGACAAGCATTGAAAAATCTATCATCGAAAATGAACTAAATTAAGAGAACAGATGCACATATTCTGAGGGGGCATTTTTGTCATGTATCTGCTTCGAAAAGTGTATGCTCCGACATGCCCCCCGCCCCACCTCCAGCATTGAAGTCGCCCATCCCTGGACGAAGCTCATAACTCAAAACATCACACGCGTTTGTTTTTCAAGCAGGTACTCACTGTTAGAGCAGCTGCTGAGCTCCGATCTCATGGGGGAGAAAAAAGCACTCTTCTTCTGACCTTTCACCTTCCGTACCACCTCCGAAGCCTTTGCGGCCACCTTTTGTCCGCTTTTCGACGCCGAGTGGATATTTCGCTCCTTGGGCTGGCCGTCGGCGGACTTGCCCCTGGGCCGCTCTCCTTTCGAGCCCAAAGCTAGTTTGCGAGACGCGCCCGCGGTGTCCAGCCGCGAGAGCGAGAGGGCTCTGTCCAGGTCGGAGGCCAGCTGCTCCTGCTCGCACACGAGGCCGCGTTTCACCTTCAGCCCCTGACAGCGGCACATACACATCATTAATCAGAGTGGAATGGAAGAGGCCTGTTGGGAATATTATGATTATTTTTTTAAATGACGCACTTGCAAGCGGGTTACCTCGGGAACGTGGCCGCCGGACGCGTCCTGGTCTTTCCAGCCCTTGCTCTTTTTCTTCTTTTTTATCTTGACCCCTAAAGTCCCCATCTCGCTTTCCTCGTCTTCTCTGGACACCAGGAACCTTTTTCTGTGTCCTTCCCCAGTTTCAGAGTCCTCCGAGTATTGCAGTGACCTACCCACCCTGAGGCAAGAGAATATTTGTACTTGAAACTGCTCAACGGGTCAAAATGCGCCAGGCTGTGATTTATAAATTTGGGACACACTGACTTTGCGGGCCTGCTGTCCATTTTGAGAGGCGTGGCCAAGTGTTTTCTCTTCCTAGGTCGACCTCTGCCCCGCCGAGCGAGAGTCCGCCTCTCGTCTTCCTGCTGCTGCCGTTCGCTGACGTGACAAGAAGAGTTTAAGCGCGTGCGCGTCCGACAAGACGCGGCAGAAGTCGGTCGGGAGCGTGTGTGCTGTGCACTGACTGCTTGTCTCTGCGTCTCTGCAGCTTGCTCATCTCTCTCTGTTTCTCCTTGTACGTCTTCTGGAGCTCGGCCAAGCGAATGCGGTATTCCACCTCCGCCGCATCCAACGCGTCCATGGACATTTTACTATAAAGCTGCGGGGGGGAAAAAAAAGAGAACAATGTCGAGGCCTTTTTCTTTCCGCGTTTTCCTCCGTGGGTGACCGTATTTATCTTCCTACCGGCTCCTCCTTCCTCTGCGTCCAGCTGTACTTTCTGTTGGGATGGAGCGTTCTGGGCAGATCAACGTGGGACTGTTCCTCGATGGCCTCCAGCAGAATCTGTTTGCTTGCCTCCAGAAGGTAGTCCAAACCCTCGATTGCCAAATCTGTCATGGGATGCGGAGGAAAAAGACACGCAAACACATAATGGTACATTATCAGTGACGAGACCTGATTTATTGATGAGTCACAAAATGTTAGGGATCTTTAGCTTTCATGCGACACTTCAGGATGAACCGAAAATGCATTAAAACCTCGAAAGGGGAACTTATTTTGACCGTGCACATGTCCAACTGTTAACTCATTCAGTAGCAGCCAATTCGAGCCCAAGTCTGAAAAGACGTTTCAAAACGTCTTTGGGAGTGAATGAGTTCAATGCTTCAGTGCATTTTTACCCATCCTGATGTTCTCCCAACACGCGGATGAATGGCAAATTTTGCTCAACAAATGCATTTCCCAGGACGCCCCCCCCCACTTCCATGCCTTTCTGTGACACTTCCAGTCTTTCTTTTGCATCCTGCCAATGACAACTCCGTAAACACTACGTTCAGTCATCGCTTCCCTCTGCCGGCATCCTGCTGACGTCAAAGCTGTTCTCGTACCGATTCTAATTGAAACAAGGAACGTGTCGGTCAAACGCCTGTTGTGAATTTCCCCGTTCTGCTCCTTGTTAGAGAACCGCGGGCGGGGGGAAATTTTTTTTTTGGAAACGTTTAACAGCTTTTCGGCATTAAGTTCACTCATAAAGGTGACGGTGCATTTTAGGTTCGT